GTTGGATGGGTAAATTCGAATGTGAAAAGATCAGTGCTATCGGTGTGGCCTCGTAGCTCAGTTGATAGGACATACGCGTACAAAGTGAAGGCGGCGTCCATGCATGGGTTTGAATCCCACCGACATATATGTAAACTTCAAATCGGCCAAGCAGCAATTTGAACAATTCGTGTTCGAGCATGTGACCTTCCGATTGCCTCCTCACAGGTATGCACGCACGCACGCACACACACGCACACACCCATGTCCCTCTCTCTCAGTCTCACACACGCACCTTCTCCGGCACATGTTCCCCCGTTCAATTGTGACATGATCCTTGTGACCTTGTACCCCGACCGTTATTGGACAGTCCTCGTGACAGTCGGTCATGTGTCTACCCTTATCACTCGGTGTCTATGGAAGTAAAGTGGAAAATAAAAAAATAATCATTGTTCTGCCTCATTCTGAACATTTGTATTTGTATTTGTATAGACTTTTGCGAGAACAGAATGTTCGCATTTCAGTCAAAAATTTACACATCTCATCAATAGAAGAAAAGATACAAGTAAAATATTTAGCCTTTAAGGTTACTGAGAAATGGTAGATTTAAATCGTTCGGTTGTACCGCCCCTCGAAAAAAGTTTCGGGCTATTTTGAACCCGATGATTTCGATTCTCATTTGTGCGAGGTTATAGAACGAAATCACAACAGAATTGAGAAAACGAGTCAGCGAATAAACAGCTGCTTTCAGATGTCCTTAGTCATGCACTTGGATATCAAAGAGTGGAAAAACGATAACATAATGAGAGCCATTCGCCCGATTCAATGTCACTGATCGAAGCGGAGCGTAGGGAGTGTGGATGTGCGTGTGTGTTACGTCTATGAAACAGTTATTCACTGCGTATTTTCAGTCATCGCACACACACACGAATGCATTGAGCACCATTCTACTTGTTTTGTGTTTGCGAAGCTCACAAAGATTTACAAAAAAGTCTCATTTTTATTCAGGACAATTCCTTGGTCAGAACCGTGCGGTATCCGAGATTTCCAATGAGAATGGTTTGGATCCCGAAGCGGACAGTCAGTTGGAGCAAGCGTTACGGGCATCTGGCGCGGAAATTCTCCTAAAAGAGTAAGTGCTTTTTCTCATTGAAATGATTGTAGCTAAATGAAAGTAAGTGAAAACTCATTTTGGCGGGCAAGCTTATTTCCGGTGGCCCATCAACTGGCTAATACGTCACATTTTCTATAACATTATTTTGTATAGAAAATAGGAAAAAAATAATGATTATTCAAAATGGCGATCTTTGTTGTTGCTCTTTTCTATCTCAGTTTCACAAAACCGGATATGGCTGAACTTACCATCGGAACTTACGCTCGGTTAGTGTTAATTGNGGGGGGGGGGGGGTGAGGATAGGAGATGCAGGGTCGAGTCTCCTCAGAAATCGTTTCTGGGCGCAAAACGGGAGAATATGTGGACGAATTCCAACCGTCTCTGCGGTGACTAGGGTAACATTTTACGAAACAACCATCCAAGGGGACAACTTTTAAACGGAGAGAAAAAGCCAATTTATCTCTCTCTCTCTCCTATTCAAAATGGGGATACGATTGCGGAGTTAGCAAACCAAGAACGTTGTTGGAGAATACTTTCCATGCTGGAAAATGACTTTTCTTATTCACGTCAAGACCGATCTTGTGTTCGCAACTGAAAGATAGGATTCCTGCTTCTGCAGTCTCACTTTGTGTGTTCCCGTGGAGTAACGTATATGGATGGACTGTACGAGCAGGCACCTATCCACAAGAGCTCAATGCACGAGGTTGAAAAGTGATACCAAGAAATAATATAAATCAGATATTTTGACGAAAAGCATGGGTTTGGAAGCTTTACCCGGTGAACTGAGTTCTCCCAGACACAGGTCACAGTGTGATGATAACCATACTGGATGAAATACCTTTGTATAAAAAGACTGCAAATTGTCATCTAAGAGGTTGAGAACAGGACATTCCTGTTTTGACGTTGCACATATCACATTGTTTTTTTAATCATAGACAATTATAATTACAATAATTACAATTATAGATAATTATAATGCTTACAAAAAGTTTACTCTCGTTGAATAAGCAGTATTACGTTTGAAGTGTCGTATTATTGTCGTCATCATTGTATGATAATGCAGTTCCAAAACGTATTCGCACACATTCCACGTAGGTCACGACGAATTTCCACTTTGAAATCTCAATAAATAAAGACTCATCGCTCTTGCGCCAAACAGGGAGCAACAAACACTGAGTGATTATACTGACAACTAAAGAGAGAGAGAAGGAGAGAATGTGATGCATTTTGGTAATACAGTAAACTTATCCAGATAAAGCCTAAATGAATTGATGAAGGTTTGGTTCCGTGTTCCGTGAGTCTTTAGTAGGCCCAGTGAACTTAGACTGTACAGTAGGAGTGCCATAACCACACAGATGGACTGAACATGACACAAAAAGATTATCACAAAAAGTACAAGATAATGTGAAATGATGGAGCAATCGCACCATCATACTATAGCAACATGCATCTTAGATTGATATTCGGACAGCTTAAATTGAAAAAGGTATAGTCAATGATTCGATGGGTAACTCTGGTTTAACCAAGTAGTAGTCAATTAGAGTTTGACTCGGGCAGTCCGGGTTAGGTGTGTGTGTGTGTGTGTGTATTAAGGGTGATGAGTGTGCGCGTGCATGTAAAGAGGTCACCGAAAGGTCACGTAATCAAACATCAACTACCATTGGGTGCCGACAGCGGGAGCAGGATTCAGGTAGACAAAGAATCGAGCAAAGTTGTCAATGCGCAGGCGTACATATAGAATAAGATCACGTGAAGAAAGCTATTAAGGATCAAATTCTGGTCCATAAATGCGGTGAATGAACGACCGAGAACGATAGAGACTGGGAATATATGGGGGAAACAGGTAGAACAGATTCAACAGTGAAGGTCTATAACCCGGAGCAGGATGTTGGAAGTTAGAGGTTAGTTTTGATGTGTGATCAATTTGGGAAGAGAAGCATGTAAACGTTCCTGCTGTAGTATTGAGAATAGATAAAAATGACCTCGCCGAGGCTACTGAACTTTTTACAATCCCATTATAAAACTTCAATCTGCCAAACAACCATTTACACAATTAACCTTGCCTTAGGTGTTCATTCGGTGGACTCTGATGAATTCTAAGGAAAACCTGTCGAGGCAGTCAGCTTACATGCTAACTAACGGATGTCATGTTCCTCTGTGAGTTGGATGGGTAATTCGAATGGGAAAAGATCCTGGTGTGTCCTCGTAGCTCAGCTGGTAAAGCGTGCGCTGTAGAGAGCGTGGGCGGCGTCCGTGCGTGGCTACAAATCCCACCGAGGCAACTGAGCTTTTCACAATCCCAATATAAAATTGATCACTCCTGATCAAAATTCAATTTGGAAGCTATGAAGTAAGTGTAGCTGACAGTCCAGAGCATACGGTGATTGTATTGTATTGTATCGTAATGTCTTGTGCAGCAATGTGTTCGGCTTTACAATGTGTTAAAAAAGTGAAATGAAAATTTATATACGACAACCAAAACACTCAAACAGGAGTTCATCTTTGTAGGTTTAAAATTACATCGTCTCGGATCTTTATCTTGTCAGTTAGAATACGAGTCAGCAAGGGAACCATTGAGTTGTGACAAATGTTTATGCTGAAGGGTAAGCAGCAAAATTTGGATCGAGTTGTGGCATGGGAACGGGATTGAGCGGATGACTGGGGTCTTTTAGTATTTTACAGGCGAAATTCTCACAAGGAGTAATATACAAATCACACAATTTTGTGATTAAAGTGTTTAAGGGAATAAGAGAAACACGACTGGTAATTACCAAACCGCGAAGAAGAGTAATGGAATCCTTTTTAAGTAGTCCAGGGAAAAAACTGGCAAACAACAAAGTGTGACAGAAAAAATGCATTGATAAGTAAAAGACCATATAGTATCATGCTTGAATCTAAATTATCGTAGCTTGCGTATCTGAAAGGATATACAGGAGAATCATCAGTTTGTCGATAGTTCAGAAAATTCCACTGCTGTTTTCTCCCGATCCAAGTAGTTCGAAACAGTGTGAGATCACCAGTTTACGAGGATTATAGATGGAACTGAGTTTCCGGATTCACCACCCCATTAATGCCATCAGTCTCAACCCAATCCTTCCTGATCTAGTGCGCCCTGTGAGAATCCCGGAATTTCCGAAAAGAATGTATTGCATTTCTATCAAAACGCTGACCTCGAATATCACATAAGCTGTTAAGAATCTCTCATAGTGTTGTAACCGGAAAGCTAACCAAGAAGATCGGTGATTTCCCGTGAACGCTATTCCCATTGAAATTTGATTATAGAAGAGATTGAATACCGGTGGTCACGTGCACCTTGGGTCTTGGAATGGCAAACCGCGGAAGAGCCAATCATTCAGTTGGACGACCGGGGGCCAGTGTTTCTAACCATAGACGACGATGGTTCGATTAGTGTCCTGAAAACACATCACTATCGATCGGTGGGCAATTAAATGACCTCAAAATAGAGGATTGATAAAAACTCATGCCTATGTCAAAAATAGGTATTGATTGATTGAGTTTCTGTATTAGTTGACGTTTAGGTTTAGATGAACAGTCCATTACGCTCATCGTACTGGTTAAATAAATATTGATCGAGTGAAATGACGAGTCCCGAACTGGACGAAACAGCTGTCCAATGCTGTTTGTCGATTCTAACAAACATTTCCATTGCATTTAAATGCATTCAAATAGTGGGGCGTAAACGGTTTCCTAAGAAGTGAAACCCACACGCAACAATATCATCAACAGTGCCTGGTGCCTGTGAATAAAACCGAATGGGCTAATCCAAATACTGACCATCTAAAACAATATTACGTTTGAAGCAATAGGTGCAATTGATAACACAGTTCATTACTGACCGATTCAACTACCACAAAATCTGTTGTAGGTTTCGGCAAATCGGTCAGTAAATTTCTTGTGATATCAACAATGCACAACCCGAAGGAAACAAACTAATCCTTAGCTAATCAGGAAAATAAACAGGTTAATGAAACTTTTTCCATTGATCATTGAATAGAATTAAATCATAAATACCGTACTTGTGGAAACCAAGGCTAGTGGATATTAATCACTGGGACACAGTGAAGGAAAGTATCGAAATTCCTACTCTATGCAGTAAAAGATCTTTTGGTTCACAATCTATTCAGTTCCTCGTGTACCGTTTTGGTTTCCAATCAGACTTATCGCTTGCATTGCACGTGAACATCCTACCCCCTTTGTGTTTTTTAATAATCTGATTGGTTTGCCTCAGTTATGACCAAGTCGGTCGAATTTGGA